TCACACACTCTCTATTTCATTACGTACCTCTCCAATAAAGACTGCAACAGCGGTGGCCAGTCCTATAGCCATGATGATGTAGGTCATCATGAGGTCGCTGTTGCTGAGCTGGCGGTCCTTCGACTGCAGGTCCAGCGGACAGATCTTGGTGGCTGGCAGGTCGCGGTGCAGCAGGTGGTTAACTATACCCGCTTTCAATAGATTCGTAATTCTATAACAAAAAATATTAAGCTGAATAATCCACGCTATTGGTAACGTAGTAAATACTCGTACAAAGCAGGTGATAGTATAATACGTTTGCGTCCAGAGACATTTAAAAAATATATAGAGGAGGCATAGTGAACGAAGCATTTCACCGGTACTTTCTCTGTAAGGTACTATATCAGTTGTCAAGTTTAGTGCCTCCGTGTTCTTGTATTGACATGCAATAAAACATTGTACAAAATTATAAGCTCCACCTTTTGTTATAAAATTATCTAAATAGTGTTATAAAACAAATTATTAAGATTGAAACATTTAGATATTACTAGCTTTCCGTTACTACGTCCGCGTGGAATTAAAAAAAAGAAAAGCAAGCAGCCTATGTGTTCTTCCAGACTATGTTTTACAACTATGCCAAATTTCATCGAGATCCGTTCAGCCGTTTAGGCTACAAACTCTAACAAACATCCATCCATCCAAACTTTCGCATTTATAATGTTAGTAAGATTTAATGTCAACTTAATTACCTTAATTTGGATACAATTAATTATATTGACTTGTGGTTTTCACAATCTAGATTATGTGAAAAATGTTTGAAGTATCATCATCACCAGCTCACTGTACGTCCCCACCGAGGGGCTCAGAGCCTACCCTAAAAAGGGGTGACTAGGCCATAGTCAACCACGCTGGCCAAGTGCGGGTTGGTTGACTTCACACATATCTTTGAATTTCTACGCCGATATGTGCAGGTTGCATCACAATGTTTCCTTCACCGTAAGAAGTATGTGATACTTGATGTATCAACCACGCCTCTATATACATATTTCTTAATTTCCGTACACAATAAACGCAGAAGAAAACATTAAAAAAAACTTACACAGTATCGAACAGGATCTTTAAAGTCGTATTATTAGGGTAAGCGAACGCTCTTTGTTTCTTCATAAAGAACTGCGGTGCGACAACGTAAGTGCACCTTTCACTCTCAATAACTCCTTCTCTGGCCTTCCTCAAGTAGTCTCCGTACATCAGGTGGTCTATTGCAGTTTGTTCCTTCACCAGCACTGCGCCCGCGCGCACTATAGGGAGGTAATCCTCGTCTCTCTTCACTGACCGAAACTGCGCTCGACCGTTCGATACCATTTTATTTATGTAATACAGTTCTTCTTCAGGCTGTGGAACGAAATTTAATGCTTCTTTCATTTGGACTCTTTTGTGGTTAAAAATATGTAAATGTAGTAAGATAATTATTGACTAAGTGTTTCCATTAGGATGTGACTAATAGATTTTAATCTTATTAGACAATATTTTAAATAAGATTGAAGTTGTTGCGAAGTTATCATTAAAGGTAACCTTATATCCATTGAAACCTGTGTCGGAATACATCGGCAACATTTAAGTGTAAGATTTAAGTAAAGATTATATTGTAAATATATATATATACGTTTCTTATAGTATACTGCACAGCGCCCCCCTCAGCGGCGACCCATCTGTAGCTCTTCTTGTAAAGGTCCTTGGGACTCTCAATGTCCAGTGTGAATTTAGACAGTGTGAGGAAAGCCGTCAGGTTGGCCGTGTAGAACGCTGACAGTAGTATTATGAATATCCACCACGTTGCGAATAACACCCGTGTTGTATCTAAAAGATAAAAAATGATGTTTTAATATACAAGTTTCGTCTGAATCGTGAAAATGTACAGACAAAGTGAATACTTTGTAAATCAAATCTAGTAATTAGCAAAACACAGAAAAATAATCCGTACTTTGAATGTTCAACAATTTTCTTTAAATCCACTTTTCTACGCAAGACCTAAATTGCTTAACATTACATCATCTAACAATAACTATTTATATATTTCGTCAAAGTTTAAACCTACAAAACATTATTACGGCATTTCGTACGTAAGCATAAACACATGTTATAAACAAAATGGTGAGGCGTGTCCGGAGTGTGATTAACGACGACCGCAATCATACGCGATACTATCAAACGGAATAACTAGAATTATAGGTAAATAAATATTAGCTTTTATATTTCAATATATATATTTTATTCAAATAACCTAGAATTCGATATAGCCTAAATCCTAGCTTTTTTACCATAAACACAAACAAAACAAGTATCGTGTTATTTCATTATGTAAACCTGAAGTTCATTACTTTTTCTCTGTTCACTAGATTCTAACCCTTTAAAATAATAGTTGATTTGTGAATATACATAAATTAGTTTAAAAATTGTACATTCATTGTCACACTTACTAGCCTCCGGTGACAAACTAGTTCCTTGCTTGATAAAGGATCCATACACGAACCATATACTTGCAGGCAAATTTATAGGACCCTCTTTATCCCGAACTAACTTGGATTTCATACGAGTGAGGAATGTTATACAGGGTCCGTAACATATTACCGCTGCCATAATAAGGTACCTGTAACATAAATACTATAAAAATAAGACATGCATCTGACTAATCGCTGGGTTCTTTCTCTCACTCTATGCGTCTACGCTCTTTCTCTTGTTTTCCTTCTCTATTTATTTGGCATCACTACTGGAACCCATTACTTACCAGACGTAAGTTTCGAATGGAGCGAGCAAGCCCGAACCGGCGGCGGATTCCTTGGGTCGTTTCAACATCATCATCCACACACCTTCGTCCAAATCGTTTGAGAATGTTGCCATTTTATTGAACTTTACTAGTCGAGTCAGAAATGCTGCCGCCATATCTATTTTCTAAATAAAAAAAGGTATTTTGACATTTGTTATAGGTAAGGTTTTGCCTTAATTGTTAGCTAATATTATCCCATTATTTTTGTCTTCAATTACAAAAAGGTCTGACCTTTCAGTTAAAATGTAAAAAATTAATCCCTTGTAACCCTAACCATGCAGTGTAAGTGTAGAAAATATGTTTTTCAAGACTCAGGGTTGTAAATGTTTCTTAGTTCAAATGAATTTATAATAAGCTCTGTATGAATTACTAATAGAAGTTTGTTACATTACAGAAAAATATAGTTTCTTACACTACTGTTGACGAGGTTAATGAGGGAACTTTCCGGTCTGACGCCACCAAATTCATAGTTATTCTCCGGCACCACCACTTCGAAAGTGAAATTAAACTTTTGGCGCAAGATTTCCATGATAGCGAACGCGACACCATGACCCGTGATAGTTCCATTGCTTTCTTGTATCGTCCAACTCAACGGGTAATTCTAAAATCAGAGCCAATGTTATCATTATCAGATACACAAGTAAACAATTAAGTACCAGCATTAGGATACGCGAAGTGGAGCAACCGACCAGGGCCAGAAATAAAAGGCCGCAATTTTTTATGTAATAGTCTCTGAGAACTAAAAGTATTCAGTAGGCAAGAAAATTAATCTTTTATTTGCATATGTTTTTGAAGTTTCCAACCATTAAATGTTATTTTTTCTAACGGTTAATGAATAATTAATTAATACAAATCATGGCTGCTTGTATTCAATCCATATTTATTTAAGCACGACATTACTCACGTTGTAAGTTCCAATTCTTAACAGTTTCCCGTTGAGGTTATGGGTCAAACTCATTTCATGTTGCTTGTTTGAAGATC